ATCTTCCAAGTGTTAACAAGTCATTTACAAAATGGCTAGCGTATTTTTGTACCTTTGAAATGACAAAGAAGGGTTAATAACTGAGGAAAATGCAGGCTGTCAACAAAAGCAAATTATCTAGGTAGCTGATCACTTGAAACTTCACACCCACCCTTTTTTAATTGTAGTATTATTGCTGCCAGCAGTTTAACCAGTGGTGAAGGGGTTAAACACCCCTTGCCCCCCCCTTCTAGAATCCCAGATAGTGGAGTAAATGTGCACTCCATTCATTGATGCTCATTGACTGGTCAGTGACAGAGGAAAGGTGGTTCTGACAGATTCCCTATGAACAAAGGCTAGCAAATAGCGTGACTCAGGCCTTCTAGTGGCCTACACACGACTGAACATTTTTCTGAATGATTCCACGTATACACTTAGGAATCAGGAAGAGAAACATTTTGCTCTCCACTAACCAAAAAAAAAAAAAAAAAAAACATATGCAAAACAACTTTGAGTAATGTAGGACTTAGTCTAGAAACTAAGAGGAGTTGCATATTTTCCCTTTGACTCCTCCCCACCTTCGTTTGGGAAATAAACAAAGATATCCCTCACATCAAGAATTTGAAACACTAAATGCAATCCTTGAAGTTTGTCTTTGGGAGAAGGAACTTTTCAAAAGTTTTTAAAGGATTTCTGGTAACCACACTATTTTAAATTTCACAAAAATAAACATTTAGCGTTTTTTTTGTTAAAAAACAATAGTTTTACATTAAAATTACTAGATAAAAAAAATTAACTTATAAACATGTCAGGAATTGTTTCTGGAAAACTGCCTTAAATAGGTTACTAATAATGAAAACCCTGTACAGGGTCGCTATGGGTCGGAACCGACTCGAAGGCACTTAACAACAATAATGAAAGATATGTGTTGGGTCAAGTTACTGGACACCCTTAACGAAATATATTGAAGTACATAGTTACTCTAGTACATATGTTGTTGTTGTTGTCAAGTGCCATCGAGTCAGTTTCGACCCATAGCGACCCTGTATAGGGTTTCCGAGGAGCTACTGGTGAGCTTGAACCGCCGACCTTGCAGTTCGAACAGCTCTGCAGTCTGGTGCATTTACCCACAGCGCCACACCAGGATTCCACCATTATTTAAAACATATGGTTCTTGTTCTTAAGTGCCATCAAGTTGGTTCCAACCCATACTGGCCCTGTATAGGGCTCCCAAGCAGCGGTTGGTGAGCTTGAATCCCCGACCTTACAGTTCAAACAACTTTGCTATCTATATCCTCTCCTCAACTTTTAAGTTTCCTAACTTCCTCTCATAGAGACTTCTGCCAAGACATTAATAAACAGTAAAGCTGTAAACATCTAGATTTCTTATCGTATGACAGTCGACAATAGTTTAAATACATTATTTCAGGTTTTCCACTTTTAACCCTATTTTTAAATTTAGGTTTAGAGACACATGGCTTTGGCACTCGTGGTTTCCAAAGCTTTCCCAAGTATGGGCTTTTTATTCATTTTGTCTTCAGTGCATTTCCTGTGACCCAACATGGCTATTTCCAGAGAAAACATCTTGACAGTCCTATCTGTGTCGTCACCATCTCCTTTCCATCTATTGTTGGAGAATGGCTGGCTCTGCTACAAGCTGAAGAAGAAACACGTGCTGTCTGCTTCTACTTTGTTTAGCTCTTCTCTTTCTGTCCCCATACCCAGTTGCCCTTTCCGTAATCCGTGGGGTGTGTTTTTTTTTTTTCCTACCCTCAGTTGCCTTGTTGTTCTGTATCTTTAATCCTGTTTTGTATTTCCAGTAAAATCCCAAACCCACACAGCCTTCAGTCACATTGTCATTAGTTATGAAAACAACAGCCCGTTCTAAGCTTACTTAAAAGTTTAAGAAAGGTCTGAGAAAATGTTCAGTGCTCCCAATTTTATTTTTATTTAATGCTAAAAGGGGGGGTGGGGAGGAACTTTCAATCTGACAAACGACAGAATGCAGGTGGTATTTCCATAGTGGTTTTTGAATATAATAATGTTGATATCTGAGATTACACTCACTTCAATTGACAGGAGTATCATCATATATAGAAAAAGTTATCACCTTCAACTTAAAAAAAAACAAACGTTAAAAGGTGGCACACTTTTAAAATACTTAATGGCCAAAGAAAGGTGTCTAGTAAAAGTTGTAAACCATGTGTATGTTCCCGTAAGTTGTAAAGTGAGGCCACATGAAAGATCTATAAACTATTAAAGCAAAACAAGGGAAATTTTCAACACCCCAGCCCCTAATATTCAGAGTATTAAAAGCCCAGCTGAAATACTAGGATCTGAAATCTTTTACTGCCTACGTACTGTAAGTCGTTTTCTGACATTTTTATCCAGCTGTGGAGCATTGCTGTGGCATCCTCAGGTACAACACAAGATGAAACCCCCATCAGGTCCCCATGCTAAATCTTTTTACCTTAGGAGAGTGCCAGAAAAATAGCCCATATTAACTCTTTCCAGCTGCAAGGCTTCCAGGAAGGCCACCCAAGAGCCAGGCCGATTTTTTTAAAGACCTAACTTCAATATGAAGAGCCTTGGTGGCCCACTGGGTTATGCGCTGGGCCGCTAACTGCAAGGATGACGGTTCAAACCTACCAGCCACTCCTCAGGAGAAAGACAAAGTAACGTTGTCTGCTCCTGTAAAAATGTAGTCTCAGAAATCCTAGGGAGCAGCGCCTCTCCATTCCACAGGGTTGCTCCAAGCCAGAATCGACTCAATGGCAACTCTTTAACTTTCATCTTCTCCTCCTCCCTTCAACACCAGCACAGAGAAAGCGCATCTTGTTTTTCCACAGCTGGATGGACTTTACCCCAAACAGAAGAGTTCTTTATTATCTTTTTGGAAAGCTCATCTGTGTGAGATTGCAAAACGTCCAGATAGCTACAACAAATTAAATCAAATAACTTATAACTTGTAACATCTATGAGGTCAAATTCCAGTTTTTAATAAAGTGCCTAGATACACATTTATACAACAGATCATAATAGTGAATTCTTTACAAATGTCTTTATGGGCATTTAGATTGAACTCTTTTCTTCATGTGTGTATTTACATAAGAGAGACCAGTCAGACCTGAGCCATATATATACTCCAATTAAGTATGACGAACTGGTTAACCATGCAAGTCTGCTTGTAATGTAACAATGACGAGTAACATGGATCTGCAGAGCATTAATAGGTGCACTCATAAAAACACTAAAAAATACTCTATATGGTGCAGTATCGGGATTTCAAGAGTTAATAACTTGACCAATACAAGAAAAATTCACTTAAAATGACAAAAACATAACTTAAAATTCAAAATTGGTAGCTATTTATCTTTCCAAATTAAAATCAACGCTCGGCTGGGAACAATTCCCCTGAATTGCAGCTCTTAAAGCCCTGATTCGGCCTAAATCTATGGCCAAGTTACCAACACCTGAACAAGAGGATGAAACGTGTTCCTGTCGATGTTAAAGTATACCAGCACAAAAGAAAAACCAGTATCACTGTGAGACTATTTCTAATAACTGATGATTTATTGGTTTTAAAAAAATCATTTTACTGATGCAAAATAGTGATCAGGAGAAATTAGTTTACAAAAGGTTTCTAAAAATAGCTTCAAAGGTGGGGCCTGTCTATTACGTAAAGCCTTTAATTTCTTTAATATTCACTAGTTTATCACTTTTTTTTTTTTTTTGCCCAAAGAACAGTATTATTCACTTGGTATTTCAAACACATGTAAGAAGGAAATTACAGGTTTCCTCCACCCACACTGGGGCTGTCACTGATAATGCTCACAGGCAGACCCACAGCGCCTCCCGGCGGTTACTCTCTAGGTACCATTCTGTAGTTAACACTCACGAGAAACAGGGTGCAGGTGATGCCATCAACAGCAACAGCACGACAGGTAAATGATCAAAAACGAAACACAAAACAAAAACACAACCATTCCCACAATCGCCACGTTTTCTGCACTGTTAACTTCTCTTGTGACTTTTTTCAAAGGAAGTGAGACAGCAACAACGGAGCTCTAGCTAAGACGTTGAAAAAGATGAAGTGGCGCTGCAGAGCCAAGCTCTGTTCAAAGATGGCAGTGCCATGCTGTCCACCGCCATCCCGACCACCACCACCTTCCATCACTGAAACTGTGCATTATGTAACCAACTAGCATGCGGCATTGAATTCTTACAACTGGTCATGTCAACAGTGGTCAACTTCGCCTTAAAAAACAAAAACACATAACCCCCGCTTGAAAGCATACACAATCCTGAAAACCGCTCAGCAGCACCTTTCAGTCACTGATCTCAGGAACTGAACTTTAAGAAGAAATTAGGTTAGAAATCCACTTTCCTATTACTCTAAGAGGACAATGCTTTGGGGTCAACCAGATTATGTTTCACAGTGGTAAGCCCACTTCACAACAGTGCCCCCCCTCCCCCTTCACTCATTTTCTTTTCTTTTTCCAACCAGTTGGCCTCAAGCCTGAGAAAGGAACCAGCAGTGAGGAGTAACAGACAGTAAGGCAATCTCTTACAATGTCAGAAAATGTATTTGGCTTTTTTTTTTTTTTTCCTTTTTAAAGTAAGTGCATACAAATACAACTAGAAGCATTTCTGATTTGCCAAGTGCTCTAAAAAAGCAGCGCAAGTCACAGCCTACATAGAACAGGAACTGTCACCAGGATAATAAAGCACAAACATATGCTAATAACGTTAACAAAAGAAGAAAATGCCTTTAGAAGTACATACCTTTTGTCGTCAAAAAAAAAAAAAA